GCCCCGGCCAGCGAACTGCCTGCGGCTTGTCCCGTTGCGAAGGGGGCTCGCGAGGGCCCCCCCGTCACCCGGCACGGGGCAACCTCCGCGCCTCCCGAGGTCGGGGACGTCGCGCAGCCGCTCCCGAAGCCGACTGCAACCGTATTTTAACGGCTGTGCAGTTAGGCCGTCCAGCCTGCAGCCCCGTCGCCTTCAGCCTGCTCCCAGCATTTACGGCCCCCTTTCCACACCTTGTTTCTTGGATGCGCGAGCTCGACGTGTGCCTGTCGGTCCCGTTCTGTCGGACCTCTGGACATTCTCCTTCCAGCGTTCCCCCTCTCTGGTTTTGGTTTTAATTCCGCTCGCCCTGCAGGAGCTCCTCTTCTTCTTCAGCCCTCTTCATTCCATTCCTAAAGCCTTTTTTCCCATTTGCATCAAAACCGTTGGTTCTTGCCATCTAAACGGTTCCTTGCTCTGTTTGGCTTGCACTCTTTTTCTCTATATACTGTGCGCATTATACAATATCTTTCTCTCACCCTCACCGTTTTCAGCAGTTGTTCTCTTCTATGTATTTTCTTCATCCATGACCTCTTTCACTTCATCCTTCTATCAATTTTTCACCACTCCACACAGTTTGGTGGTACTTTCACATCATTCTTTTCACCCTGTTCCAAACATTGAGCATATATGTCCACTTTCCGTTCATTCTGCTGAGAGATTGTCCCATATGTTTTTGTACAGGACTTTCTTTTCCTGAAACTGTCCTTTCTTTTTTCCTTGTCCATTTCCCCCCAGGATCCACCCCTGATACTTTCAAAATCATGGTCTGTTGCATATTCAGAACCCCTCATTGCCCTCCTATGCTTCGCCAATCCTCTCAGTCTTTCACCACAGTGAAATCAGTCATGGTTTCACGTTTATTTTTCTTCCCTGTGCATGAACGAGTAGGCTTAGACATGCATCAGAACAAGCAGACTTTCTTCTGAGGAGATACTCGCTGGTCCCCGTTCTTCCTCACTCTTAGGGCTCCAAATGGGCCGATCACCTTTTCCCCCTGTATTGTCTCATTTTTTTCCACTTACCCACACGATTCTTGTCATCTAACCAAAACACGTCATCCCCGGATCCCATTCATTCCGAATCCTGTCCAATTTTTTTTCGTACTCGTTATGGATTCTTCTGTTATCATCCTTACTGGAGCATACCGTGGAACTATCACCAACTGTCAAAAGGAAGGAAGGTGACCTTGGCGGAGATTCGCAGGAACAGTTGCCTAGAAAACAGAGGCTGACGCCCTTTTGAAGTTGGGAACAACAAGGTAACATTCAGAAGCGGCTCAGGCGGACACCTCCCTGACCTGTGAGAAGGAGGAGCAGGCCCAGCACAGTCAAGCTCAGAAGATTTTGTCATTACAGCCAATCTCAAGAAAAGTCGGTTTAGCCTTCCTGTGGAGCTGATTTCCTGGTCTGGTCTACCTAGGAATTCCTATTTTCATACGTACCTGCAAAGTCTAGATGGCACCAATTCATATTTCCTGGTATACATTTTAGTCCTTTAATTCACCATGAAATGCACAGCTTTCTTTCCATGCATGTATTAATCAGCTCCCCAAGATCAGACCACTTTCATCCAAACGTGCAACGTCTTTCCCCTTATTGTTAGTTTCACAGATACACAACGTTCTCCTTTATGGGTTCATTAATTTGTGCTCTGTACAGTTTACATGCCCTACACGCCATAGTGCAGAGCGTGGTCCTCACCAGAGCAGCCCACAGGTAGGGAGGGACCTCTGTTGCTCATTATGGCTTCGGTCAGTTGAGGCTCTCCCATAACTCCTGGTGTGTAGAGAAGATGTGAACCGGGGGGCTTTTTGTGTCATGGACCCCTTGAGATACTGGTGAAGCCTACCGACCCTTTTTCAGAAAAATGAATTTAAATGCATTAAATACAATATATAGATACAGAGCGTACTACAAAGGATACCAATTATGCTCAGTTGCAGTTATCAAAATGTTTAAAAATAACAAATATTTACTATAGTAAAATATATGCTTGATGTATGGATTGAAATAAACAAACAGTTTGGAGCCAGAGGCCATAAATTACTTTATTGTTTACATAAGATATTTAACAAATATTTTCTCATCCAAGTTCATGGACCCGCTGAAATCTATCCATTGATCCCCAGAGGCTAGGAACTCCTGGGGTAGGTGACATATCAACCTCAGTCATAGTCATGCCGCACACAGCTAATGGGGAGGGCCTAATACCAGTCAGTCTGGTTGCCTTTTGGTCAGCATGCCACACCTCAGCTAGAGTTTATCCCAAGGACGTTCATGCTAGTCTACGCCCGCTGCCAAGCTATCTTACCAGTGCCCAGGAGGCACATACAGTGTCCTGGCCCTCACAAAGCAATTCCTGGGAATGACATCCATTCCTCTTTTAGACTAAGACATCACTACAGTTTTCACATAGTAAAACAGTCCATAATGCACCTAAAGTTTCTAGGATGACAGAACAACTGTCAGCAGGTGGTTCCCATATGTGGGACATCATATTCTTTCCGGGTCTGGGAGATGGCATGTTGCCAAAGGAAGAGAAATAGTGATACGTAAGTGTGTGTGTGTGCACGCACACGGGGCCTTTCAGGTAAGAGGGAGGTTGGACTGTCTTGTAGAAAGCAGCTTTTCATAAAGGTTTTTGGTTCAAAGGAGAAAG